TTTTTAGAGTCAGTTGCAGGTCTTCATGACCTGCGAGAACTTCCATAAGGTTCATCTATTACAGATGTAGACCAATGATTGGAAGGAAGTCCTGCCGTTGCAACATAGAAATCACCAACATGTTCAGGCCATCGCTTCAGAGTTTATCTCTATAGTGATGATAACGGGCATCTACACGATCCCGGGGGGGCTACGTTAACTTTGATGATCTTTATGATCATGCCATAATAACCAGAGTGACATCTACTTTTGATGCTTCACAATGACTGGTTGAAAGTCCTGTTAGATCTTAAATGCTTCTACCATTTTATACAGGCCACGCGTCAGTGTTTTCATTGATGTTGTGATAACGAAACACCATGGTGTCTCTGGTGTTTACCTTTTTGTTTGTTTTTCTGTTTTCTTTCACAGAATAAAAGAATAAATGCATGATGCCCCGATTCATCGGATCATCATGAGGGGGAGAGTGGTCCGCATGTTGTTAACTGTCAACAAATCATTCTTGGACACTTCTCTCCTCCAACACTTTCTATACTCTCTCAAAGCATCAAGACTACCAAGTCAGTTTCACGTCAAATGGTCAGCTACGATCACAAGTCAACCATCATTTTCCGCTGTGCCACCAACAAGTTCTCCTCAAAAGCATTCACTTCAAATAGTCAAAAAGACTACATTGTGGAGGAGACAGAGGTCGGTAATCGAATCTCATGCGCGTCTGCAATTCTTCAAGAACATTCATTCTAGAGGCGCCTTCGGATTTGCAGTCAAGATGATCATGAGTTACTTTTGGAAGGCAAGGATTACAAGCAAAATTTTCAAGTTTCCTCAACCCCCGACATCAAAGATCAAATTGCCAAGAAGACATCAAAGGGGAGATTGCAAGGATTTCTTCAGAAAGCCTTCTTAAGAAGTCAAGTTCAACATGAAGACAAAGGAAGCTGAGTTGCACTGAAGATCAAGACAAAAGGGGAGCAACTCAATAGATTTTATCTACGCTCTCCTCTACATTGCTGAATAAACACAAAGACAAAGATATCCGCTCTGCAATGCTCATTGAACACGATTGAACACCAAGGGGGAAATTGTTGGGAATATTATGGTGTCCAATCTAGTTAAATATCTTTGTATTTGTGTAGTTATTAATTAAATGTGTAATATGGGCCACAAATGTATTTCAGCCCATTAGCCCTCTCGTAAGCCTTAAGTTAGACATCCTTATGTATAAAAGGATGTTAACTTAAGAGAAACCCAAAGCCTCTACGCACATAAACACACATATCAGTTTGTAAGGCTTTGACGGTATAAGGAAGAGGGAGTTCATCGTTCAAATATTGTTAAATCATTATGTGATTCTCCGCTTCTATTATATTGTTGTTGTTGTTAGATTATCATCTCAGAAATAGAGACCAACATGCCACCTCATTGTCTGATCCGTCCACCACGACAATGGACTTAGAGGCATCTTCAAGGCACGATCTTTTCAACAGACGCTCGGCCTCAGATTTCCGTTGGGCTCGGGAGCAAGATGACCCTCCTCATCAACAACCCTCTCCTGATCAAGATGCCCAGGAGCCCGGGGAATGTGGTGGCGACCCATGACGGGAAGATTGGTATAAACACCTACACAAAAGAAGCACGATCAGAGCTACACAAAGACAATGAATGTTACACAAACGTCAAGGCCCGGAACCCGAACGGTGGGGGCATACCTAACCCGACTTGAAGCATGTGGGTGTCCACCACAAACAGTCTCAGGTTTTGAATCCCCAACCCGGCAATACGACCGGCGAGCTCCAGCTCGGTGTTACTAAGGTCTGGGGTGTCGAATTTGATCGGGTAGGAGTTCCACCGATCGGAGAATGGTAACGGAGAGCCCACCTCAACGAAGAAGAATCTCTCCTCCCAGCCATCCAGATTGGGACCATTGTTAGAGAACAAAACCGTCCATGGGCGAGCAGTTAAACCAAGATAACCCATACGGCCAAAGGGGGAGACTCTGAAGAAATGGAGGAACAGACCCACCGAGGGGATGACCCCTACGCTATGGCAACGTATGATGAAACCGGCTATTGTTCGATAAGAGGCCGGTACGAGCTGCGCCAGTGCGATCCTAAGCCCATGGAATAATGTTCTATGAAAGGGATGCAAGGGGAAGACAAGGTCGGTCAGCACGGAATCCATGTGCACTACCACATGGTCAGGCAGATGATGCACGGGATGTCAAATGACCCAAGCATCCCAACCCCGCGGAGGAGGGAACAACAGGCCTATCGTCATGATATCGCGGGGAAGCAGACGTTGTTTTTGACGCTGAACGTTTTCAATGTTAAGGGAATATATGGGGGGCAATCAAGCATCCCCCACTCATAAAATGTAAGGTCATCCCCAAAGGAACAACCATCATCTAACAGAGGTTCGGGGTGCCTCGAAGGAAAAGGTTTGGCAAGGGCCGAGGACCTGAGGTTGCTAGACATAATGAAGTACTAGAGACTAAGCTTGAAAACTTACTAAAGTAAAAGAATTGTAGAGAGAAACTAAAACCGATAGAGTAACGACACAAATGAAGAGATATGACCAACTTCTCAAAACCAGGGGTAATTATAAACGTCGCCGCCAGGCCCACCGAATCTAAGGGGAACATGTGGTGGATGATAATGGGTGGCCCTTGCGGTAAAAAACCGTCGCTTTGATATCCGTGACAGGATAAGTGGCCACCCAAGGGGTTTCTCTATCAGTTGGCGACGAGCAGGCTTTGGGACCTATCCTACAGACGCACACAGGTCATGGGACGATGACGAACGTCGCTCCCCAGATGTGCATATCGCAGAGGGATAAACTCATGCCAAGGAACGACGGTCGGACTCAAGAACTTAGTATACTTATGAAAATTGGTGCATGAAAGCAAGATGAAGGACCATTGGGAAGGAATACATGACGAACGTCCGGACATACTTAACATAAAAAGACATTATGCGAGCAAAGTATAAGACAGACAATGAAGATAAAAGGTGAAGTTTATTCTTCGGCCTTATTAACCGGATCACACAAAAGATGATTTGGGGCGATGCAACATACATGAAAAAATTAAACAAAATTGGGGCTCTGCTTCCCGGCATCCGCTTCGGCCGCTTCATCCTCGGAATCCACAATCGGGGAGGGGGGCTCGGGCTCCTCATCTCTTGCCCTGGTAGCCTGGCTTGAGCCCTTGTCTGATCCCTGTCCCACTTGGCAACATCCTCCACCAGACCTTCATCATCGGTATGGTCGGTCATGCAGAACTGTTGTAACACCCCCATTTTCCCCAACCAAAAATACATTTAAATAATGATTTATTCAAAGGAATTATCAACTTTATTTGAAAACATCAGAGATACAGCGGAAGTCTTAATAGGGAAATGGGTGTTACCGCCACACTCGGTTCTCACATAACCGAATGCACAGGCTAAACCACCATCCAAAAATAATCCAAGTATTTAAGTACTGAAAATTTCAAAAATAATTTAAATGTCTACATGTTCTCAAACTGAAATAAACAATAACTAGGTGATTATAAATACTAAACACGTGCATCATCATGCATAACCTTCATCACCTGCACAATTAAAGTGCAGAAAACAAAACAAAGAAAAGGAAACAAAAATTAGCTTTTTAGCTAAGTAAGGCCCATCCAACCCCGTAAAATAATCACGTTTGGCGAAAATAGTTTTATACATAACTATAACTTTAAAAATTCATTTTCTTCCCACAAAACTAATTTGGTGTTCAAAATAATATTTATAAACTCTTAGTAACTCACACATTCATATAAGAGTATCACTTTTTAAAATATAATTTATAGCTAATCACTCTTTTTAAATATACTCAATTGCTCTTTGAAAATAACCTCCATAGTCTTCTTCTTTTCAAAACCAAAATCTCCTACTTTCTTTTAAGATGGGCGGTACTTTCGGATACTTATGCCCGAAGCCCAATGAGTCGTTGTTATTTACGAACTCATCCCGGAATCCAGTTCCCATCACTATCTCTTGAATCGAAACGGCCACTAAACTTGTTCTCTTCAAGTAGTAGTATCCCTAACCATCCTCCACATTTATCCGGATGTGAAAAACCGACACCACGGATTTCTCCCGGGGTGCTCACCTCTTATGAAAATGTTAATTTTCATCTTGAATCAAGATACACTTCAAAATATTTTCCAAACTCTCTAAATAGTCTAAAAGGTGTTTAAAAGTATTTAATACCCCAAAAGTACATAGTTTGTATTTCTCAAATACTATAGATTAAATATCTCTTTAAATAACACATATAGATAATTCAAAAACTCAATACATAATCACATAGCACATAATAATCACACATCACAGAATATTTCTCAAGTCTCCAAATATTCTCAATGGTGTTTAAAAATATTTAATACCCCAATATCTCAACTTTCTCAAATACTATAAATTTAATGTCACTTCAAATAATACATATTCAAAATTCACACTTTGATCAAATAATAGCATATAATACGAGGAAATCATTTTGGATCGGCAGAGAAACTTACAATTTAGGGTTTATCCAAAACTAGTTCCAAAATAGTATTTAATAACATATTCAAAATAATCCAATAAGGATATTTATAACTCCAGAATATATATGTAAATTTTCATACCAAACTATACATTTAAAAATATATAATTTATCCCAAAAGATTTGATCTCACAACACTTTCCAAAAAGAGGGTTTAACCCAAACAACCACTTCCCAAAAGTAGCATTTACTACTACCACCAAAATAATCAAATTGGAGTATTCTGAACCCATAATATATTTTCAATATGACCAGTTATAATAGTCTCAAATCATACTTCAACTCATACCAAAACAATCACCAAAATTTTCCAATCCCAAAAGAAAAATCATCAAAAATCACAATTTCAGCCATGATAAACTGATTTGATAAATTCACCAAAAATCACACGTTCATAAATTCCCAGAAAAGCATACATCATCATACTCATACTATGATAGCCGAATTATCCATAAAATTTCAGAAAGAAACTCAAATCATAGCACAAACCCTAGTTTATACAATATAGAGGCAAAATAGTAATTTTGGTTGCAATAGTCCTTACCTCGAGGCTAGCAACGAATCCTAAACGTCAAACCTAGTTTGATGGATCATTCTCACGTACCTAGGAAGTGATAGGTTCGAAGGATCTCAATTTAGGAGAAGGAAATTTAGGAAACGGATGAACGACGCGAATTAGGCAACAAACGCACTTACCGGAATATTGGATTGTTTGATCTCATCATTGGCATAAAATTTCGTGCTGGATACGTTAATATTGAAGAGCTGGAAGGGATAGAGCTTGAAGAGGCGGTCCTAGGGTTTTTGGAATGAGGAAAATCGGATTAGGGATGTATTTATAGTGAATTTCCGAAGTTTGAGTTGCATTAGGATACAACAGGAACGCACGCGTGCGTACCTTCCACGCACGCCGTGTGTGACCCCTAGACGCTCCAAACCTTAGTTTTTGCCCCGTTTCTTCCCCATTTGGACCTCCCCTCTGTCCCAAACACTAAACAAAACATAATAAACGACCTAAAGACCGTGTAAACAATATGAAACACAATTTTAATTATTTCCCAAATTCTCTCAAATTTTCAGGTTATTACAACCGTCCCCAGTAGCCTTTGATAAGGAGCAGCATCATACACTCCACTACGTCGTAGTAGCCCTTAGCAGAGCTATCAGCTGCCAGACTGAGCAGAAATTTGTGGCCGAGCGGAGTACACTTCAGAAGCTCCACCCCATGGTCGAGACGAGCTTTCCTCGTCTGCTGTTGTAGCTCTTCTTCAAAACAATCCCCGACAGCGCCCCGTGCGTAGCACCGAGCTGTGACCATGAATCCTGCCGACTACTCATAGCCGGAGATGACCAACTCCCACACCAGGGGAACCACGTTCGCACTGGGCCCCGCCTCGGCGGCAAGGGAACAGGGGTAAAAGCAAAATCGTGCCTCTCAGCAACGGAAAGCTTCCCAAAGGTCGTATCCAATGCGGCCTGGAGCTCTGCTCCCCTCCGAGCAGCAACCTCTCTTTCTTGCCGAGCGGCATCTTGCGCTACCCTAAGGGCTTCATCGGCCTGGTGCTTGGCCTCGAGGGCATCCCGATCCCTGGCGGTCTCCGACTGCAGTATGTAAAGGCCAGTCTGCAACAAAAAACAAAGATTAAAATCAAATAAAGGGGACAAAGACGAACTGTAGACGGGTCAAAGAATAAGAGCAGTTACTTGGAAGCACGTCATCAATGCATTATTGATGTCAGCAGGGGATGGACGGGGGAGCAGCTCAATCCCCGAGTGGAGGGCGAATTCCCTCCAACACTCTATGGCCGGACGCCCAAGGGGGTTAGTCTGGTGTCATCATCTGCAGGGCCAGAAGTAGCAGTGTGGGGCCTCTTCCTTCTCTATTTCTCGGCGCCTACGGGAATAGCAACCGAGATGTGGGGACGTCCTGAGCAGGGCCGGAACCAGTGGCCTGTTCCCCAGAAACAGTGCCAGTGACAAGGGTCAGGGTTCCCAGTGGCGGATCCAGGATACAAAGTTATTGGGGGCGGGGTAAACAAAAAATGCATAAAAAAAAATTAATAAAGTATTGATGTAATAGTACAATAATTTTAACAACATACATCACACTTGTTCGCGCCCAGTTTTAATCTTTTGGAAAAGATTCATTACAATTTCATTTGTAACAGTTTCAAATTTCAATAAAAATTTTAACAAAATACATCACAATTAACTTTTGTAATACATTAATACATTTTATTTAACTACCTAAAGTAACATATTATTTATATTTAGTGTTTCTAACATATTAAATGCCATTTTGTAATTTATAATTTCTAAGTGTAAAACATTACATTAATAGATGGGTAACTATTTCGGAAACACACCAATTGAATTTAATCTAATTGATCTTTCTAAAATATTAAATCCGATTCATTTAAATAAATAACCCTATAATAAATTTTTAACATTATTATCAGTTTAGTAATACTATTTAGGAAGTTTTACTTGGATTGTTTTCAATCCCAGACCAGATCAGACTTGACTAAATAAACCAGACCAGACTTAAACAGACCAGACCGGACTTAAATATACCATATCAGACTTTACTTGCGTAGTTATAAAATAAACAAAGACCAGAAATTTACCAGACCAGATCATACTTAAACAGATTAGACCAGTAAATTGTAGTCCAAGTAAAAACATCCTTAATATTTATATTAGGGAAAAGGGACAAATAAGCCCACGTACTAATAAAAAATGTCAAATAAGTCCTTATTTAGAAGGCTCTGTCCGACCGTCAAGATTTGGGGCGGTTTCCGGTGGAATTTTTTGATGAAAATTTTTGAGCATCTTATTCATTGAGTCTAGTTTTCTCATACCAAATTTTATCTAACAATTCAATCGAGAAGACATTCAAATGAATTCTTGAAGATAACTGCGTTTTTAACTGCACAATTATCTTCAAGAATTCATGTGAATGTCTTCGCGATGGAAGTTTTAGCTGAAATTTGGTATGCATAAACTAGACTGAATGAATAAGACGCTAAAAAAATTTCATCAGATAATTCCTTTGGGAACCGCCCCAAATGAGGACAACCAGACAGAGCCTCCTAAATAAGGACTTATTTGGCCTTTTTTGTTAGTACGTGAGCTTATTTGCCCATTTTCCCTTTATATTAAATACGAAAAGTAAACAATATATAAAGTCATAAAACAACTATACGGAGTACTAAACTAGCAAAGGGGCAACTACTTCTTTTTATTGGGAGCAATTCATTTTGTTTATTGGGGGCAACTACTTCTTTTTATTGGGGGCAATTACTTGGACCTTTAATTTTAATTAAAAACTTACAAAGGGTTAGTGGGATCTTATTGGGGGCAGCTGCCCCCCTCATATGTGAGTAGATCCGCCCCTGGGGGTTCCTCAACAACACGTCCTTGTTATCTGCCCGGGACCCGGCAGAAGCAGTATCCGAGCTGGCACTGGCCCGGGCGGCGACAGCCTTCACCTTTGTAGCCTTTATCCTATCTGCCTTGGCTGCCCTCTCTTGCCTCATAGTGTCTTTCTCCATCTGTTCCTTGGTAGGAGGAGGGCCTGAAACAAGAGAAAAAATTAGAACCGGGTGGTACAAATATCGAAGGACGCTCGCATACCAGAGATAGCGCCGCCCGGGGTCTAGGTACGATCAGGAAAGGAAATATCGATCCTGGGGATGCGGGCGGTACCTATCTCTGCATCAGCAAGCGCCCCAAAGGTTAGAAAAGACTCCAAGTGCGCGGAGCCGCCCGTCTTCAGTTTTTTGATGTTCTCCTCCTAGGGTCGGCGATCAATCACGTATCAATCTCAACTCAAAGACCGGAGCAAACCCCTCGTTTTGAGCACCGTGCTGATGGTCTCTGGACAACGACCTTTAGACAAAGATTCTCCCATAGGATTGCCTTGTCCATGGTTCGCCAAAGAGATTGAACCCGTGGGCCATTTCACAGGCGGTGTTGGTCTTATGGGGGATCAGCACCACCCTTTAATTCAGGGACTAACCGCCCAAAATGTTGGCACCACGATGTGGTGCAGCCCCTCATGTCCATCCACCGCTCAGTAGTGGGGCTCTGCACTGTCGTAGTGAATTGTGGGGGGTGCCCCACAGGAATCTACCTTGACTTGGGGACTACAGAGTAATGGGTTAAATTGAGGGTGTCCACTTCCTTATCACCAATTGGTTTTAAGAAATATATGGTTGCTATTTAACCACATAACTCTGCAGTTAAGCGAGCCCGCAGTTAGAAAGCCTGAAGATGGGTGACCCACTGGGAAATTAGTCGAATCCGAAAAGGGGTGTATCGATCTAACAAGATTGTCGAATCCGAAGAGGGGTGTATCGATCCAACAAGTGGTATCAGAGCGAGGTCAAGGTGATCTCCCGGCAGGTGTTGGGGGGGGGGTGATTGTTGGTCTTATGGGGGATCGGATCAGCACCACCCTTTGATTTATGGACTAACCGCCCAACCTGTTGGCAACACGATGTGGTGCAACCTCTCATGTCCATCCACCGCTCAGTAGTGGGGCTCTGCACTGTCGCAGTGAACTGTGGGGGTGCCCCACATGAATCTACCTTGACTTGGGGACTACAGAGTAATGGATTAAATAGATGGTGTCCACTTCCTTATCACCAATTGGTTTTAAGAAAGATATGGTTGCTATTTAACCACAGAACTCTGCAGTTAAGCGGGTCCGAGGTTAGAAAACCCGAGGATGGGTGACCCACTGGGAAGTTAGTCGAATCCGAAAAGGGGTGTATCGATATAACAAGCTTGTCGAATCCGAAGTGGGGTGTATCGATCCAACAGGTAGCACCTAGGCACGCAGGTTCAACACATCAACCACCAAGTGGTCCTCGATATCATTGGAATACTCCTCCATCCGATGATTATCTCGGTTTCAGGAGTGGGGGACTACACCTCGGCCTAAAGACGAAAAAGCAAAAAAATCAAAAATCTCAGAAATGCGACAAAGTACATGTAGATGTCACACTCACCCCGGAGTACATCACTTCGGACTCAAAGCTCAATCAAGCGTCAGGAATCAAAACACATGATCAACACCAGAAAAACTCTACCCCCTTTCACTTCGGTACACCTCAACTAAGAGAGTGTGGGACTCCTGATGGAGTATATGGGATCAGACACATGACCCCACATACTTTTGGATATAAAGACGGTCCAGATCCACGCCAGTACCAGGGGGCCAACAAATGAGCCCAATCTAGAATGAAGAGACTGACTTTCTGTCCGTACCGGCACCTCGACATCCGCACCTCGGAGGATTGCACCTTAGCCACATGCTGCTAGAAGCCCATCAGGGACTACGACAGTGGCCCATTACTGTAATCGGGCCTCCCATGCCTAAGACCTGGGAGCCCAACCCATATTTCTTCTATAAATACCCCCAGGGGTAGTTGTAGAGGCTTCACAGCTCATTTATTATAATGACTTTCTCTCTCTAAATTTTAGCTCTCCCTTCTCTCTAGCAATACCACTAACGGTTTTACCGGGAAGCTATCATTACTAATTTATAATACTAGAGTAAATAAACCTGATTACTATGAGTTCATATTTTTATATGTATAAAAGAGTTACAAATTCTGGATCTCTGACGCTAACCTTTCCGTATTTGAAATATTCTCTGTGTTACATTAAAACTGTCCCACTTTTTCGTTTTGGTCTATCTCACTAAGATTGATCCATACCAAAATTGGTAATATTGTGTGGTTGTAATTCATTTTTACTCTATCAATTAAATATCAATTAGACAAACTCACTCGGCTAAGTACGTTAAAAGTGATGAAATTCTGACTGAAGTAGCTGAATGTGCTAAATTATGAAACAATTAAATTTAAAATATATTTGATTAATGAAATAAAGACAAAGTTATATGAAAAATAATTAATACGATCTAGTAACTTTAATCAATTTAGTGAGATAAAAAGTTAGATGGTAGGTGAAAAGTTTACGGTACTACATACGAAGTATAAAACAGCTAAAGGTGGGGGTTAAGAATGTTTTTATTTCGACTATTTTCAATTAGAGACTAGATCAGGTCAAATCAAACTAGATAAGATCAGATCACACCAAATTTGAACAGATAAAATAAACAAAGATCATACATCTATCAGACAAGTTCAAACTAAACCAAATCACACTAGGTCAGTTCAGACCAACCAAAAATATTTCATGTTTTTCGTTTTACCAAAGGATTGAATCTTCGAGGATCGTGCCAATAAGGTCACTCTACCACTTATATCCTAATAAAACATCCTATTACCTCCATCACCTGCTCATGTATCAATGTTCCAACAGGTTGAATCTCCAACCTCAAGGGCCCCGCACCTCGACCCAACAAAACATTTGAGTGGTTGTAGATTTGTAGGTCACAATGATTCAGTCAGCCCAATGATGATAGACCTTCTAATCATGCATATCAATGTCTAATCGTAGCACATACGAGCCTTAACTTTCACGTGACCCCTGCGGGGTTGCATCCTGTACCAACTTTTCCTTGCTCAATTTAAGAGACTAATATACTTGTGGGGGTACATGCGCATGTACTTGTACTATCGTATACTACCTCCGTCCCTTAAAACTTTGCTAGACCTGTACATCATGTGTGGGGCCCCCCGGCCTGACCCGCAAAATCGGGCCTAACCCTATGTCCATACCCGCCCATAAGAGCGGGACGGGTAGTCCACCGGGCCACCCGCCCCGGGAAAACTTTAATTTTTTCAAAATTATATGATTTTTTAAATATTTTAAAAATAATATTACAAAATTTAGAAAATAATTATTATGCTTATAATGTTTATACGTCCTTCACCACATACAAAAAAATACTTACACAAAATAATAATGAGAAACTATATCTAAAATTTAAAATTTAAGCACAAAGTATTATCTTTAAGTACAAAAATAGATATTATATTGGTTGAGCTAGTTGTTAAGAACTAAAAATTTAAATTTAAACATAATAAACTATAAATATGTATAAAGAAAATTTGGTAAATATAAATATACATGTGTATATGCAAACAAATAAATAAATTAGTGTGTATATATATATTAAATGTAGCGGGCCGGGCTTATCGGCCCGAACGGGCCTATACCCTAACCCAAGCCCGCCCATATCTTATTGCGGGCCGGGCTCGGGCCGGCCCGATGGGTAAATATATATGCCCAAGCCCGTCCATTTGTGCGGGCGGGCTGGGCGGGCCGGGCGGCCCGACCCGGTTTTGTCCAGGTCTAAACTTTGCCAAAGTTGACTGGCACGGAGAATAATAAAGTAAAAACTGTGTGGTTGAGATTTGTGCAGAGGAGGGAGAAAAAATAGAAACCACAAAATAATTGATTAAAAGGGAAAGTGGCAAAGTTTTTTGGGACGTCCCAAAAAGAAAAGATGACAAAGTTTTAAGGGACGGAAGGAGTATAACTTTGGGCAATATGCTTAACTCCTACTCCCTCCGTCCCAATTTGTTTTGCAAAATTTCCATTTTGGTTGTCCCAAAATAATTTTCCACTTTCCATTTTAGGTATGTAAATAAAAGTAAGTGACAAATTTACCCTTACTTTTACTTTTTCCCATCAATCTAAAGGCATCTACTTTTAGGATGAAGGACAAAAGTGTAAAAAACAAACATCATTTATTGTCATTTCTTAATCCTTCTGTCAGTCAAAATTTGCAACTCAATTCGAGACGGAGGGTACTATTTCCTACACTATTAAATACAGAGTATTGTGCGAAGACCTCTTAGAGTATCTTTAATGGGAGACTGTTAACATTAAAAAAATTGTGACACATGACAATGTATTATTAGAATGTTTAGCCATGTAGGAAGAATGTTAAGACCCACGTTGCAATGACTTGATAAATCAGAGAAATGGTCTCCAGTGGGAAACCAAATACACCAGCATAATGCTCTCCACTTTGCAACAGATTGCACAAGAGAGGTGAGAAAGTGAATTTTTTTTGTGGGTAGTTTCTTTTAGTCGGTAGGATATTTCTTAATCTCCAAAATGGCTGACTTAACATGTGAACGGGCATGTCAAATTTATTTTTTGACAAGTCAACATTACAAGAAAGTTTGACAAAATGGCAGGAAATTTATTTCTTTTACAAGTCAGCATTGGAAACTAGTTTTTTACATCAATGTTTAAAGCGGATGACGTGGCCATCATTTTTAATGTGAACAGCTTCGGACTGGAGATCTCTAAATAAGGAGTGTCTTGTGGGAGAGAAGGAGCAATCAAATGTATGAAAGGGACTTCCCGTTCATGCCCTTCCCGTATGAAAGCAATCTGATAAATCCACCCAGTCCCCAGGATTCGTAATGCAGCGGTTAGTAAGGATTGCGAGGCTATCCCGTTCATCTGCACCTTACTTCTGTGGTTATGCATCTTCTTCTAAATCCACGGCGGCAAAACAGTGTCGTTCTGTTTCAATTCTCCGAGAAAATTCCTATAAGTTGCAGAAAAAGGCCATTCCTGGAGATTTTTTGAAATGGAGTTCGCTTGGTTTCTGTAGAACATCGAGATTCGCTACTGGGTTCAATCCATTGCATCCGAAGACACTTGACTCAATTATGGACGTCGAGAGGGCAAAGACCAAATCTGCTGAGGAACTTTCTGATATATGGAGTGATGTAAGTTTCCTACTTTCTTTGTAATGCTGTAGTTTGTGATCAACCAATGATGTTTTGATTGTGCTCTTTGATGGCTTGTCTTTATTGTTGCACCTCTAAGCTATCCACTGTTGAATTTTAAGACGTTTTATATACACCAATGATCTCTTTGTGTCCCTTTATCAACTGTGTTATGCTATACCAGTACCACTTGGGAAGAGGTCATATTGGTGCATCAATGAAAGCAAGTTTATACTATCTGTTGGAGCAAAGATCTCAAAATTGGTAATGTAACCTTCTCTTTGTGCTCAATAAGGGATGACAATCGTGACTGATGTTATAGATATACACACTGAACTCCTCCGCTTAAAACCCGTGATACCATGACCGGGTAACGGGTATGGGGGGAATAACTTATTACGGTTAATAGGGTGGGTATGGTGTTATACATGGCCGCACCGTTATCCGCCCATTACTCGCCCCATATATTTTTATTTTTTATTTTTATTTCATTCCTTTCAATTATTTGTCACACCTAAAAAAAATGATATTTTCCTCTTTTCCATTGGGTATATATGAATGTCCTCCTTGGCCCTAGCTAGGGGTGAGCCATGCCCTTCCTGTCACCCCAAATTTGAAAAAAAAAACGTTTGCTTCATGTGTAATTTTGTGTGTGTAAAGTGTTGTTTTAAAAATTCTTTATATTGTGGCACATCCCACTATTTGCTCTCGGCTATGCCACTGATGTCCTTGCTACAATGTATATAAACAAGGATCTCTTTTGAGAACTCACCTCTTTGGGTCCAATAATAGACTTCAAGGGTAAACAAGATTTCGTGTTTAGTAAATATTTAGACTTTACGTATGTTTAAGATTAAAATAATTTGGGTCATGTTCTTCTTTTTATAGGTGTACCCGGATTTTAAGTGGCGTCTCACGTTTAGAATTGCCTAGGTGATGCCATTTTCCGTCTTTTAAAACATTGACTTTTTTATTTTTATTTTATTATTATTTTTTTAACCCGGAAGGCAAACATTGACTTTTATATTAAAATATCATTGACACTTTAAGTGAATGGTTATTCCCGGTTATATTTGTTACCAATTGTGCCGCTATGGTTGGATAAAAATTACCTGCTGGGTAACGGGCAGAAAGAGGTTGGGGAAATTACCTAGTGGGATGGGTACAGCTATATGCATAACCGACCCCAACACCCCAATGCCATCTCTACTCAATATAAACTTATTTCGTTTTTCTTTCATTTGTGAGCATATATCATTTGCAGCCGGTATTTTGTGATCCCACTATGGAGAGGGAATGGCTACTCGACAATGTTCGTACAAGGTCAGAACTATGGAACATATCTTGTTTATTATTCAATAGGACCCTAAATTAATAGTGATGTTTGAGTAAGGTATAAGTTGGTAGATAAGCCTTTTCATTTATTTAAGATTCTTTGAGCCTTCCCTTTGCCAGTAATGTCTTGACATTTTTATTTTCTGTATGGTCAAACATCATTAGGAGTGTGAGCTTTTCAATAACAATCAATATATCTAGTGTCTATCAGTAGCATGTGTTTCTTTAAAGATGTAAAGATTCAATCATAGGGAAATTGCCCGAAATAAGAGTAAAAACGTTTGTGTATTCCAAAATAGGACTATCATGTTTTTATTACCTAAATAAGAGTAATAACTGTCATGTTTTGGCAGTACCAGACTTTAAACATGACAATATTTTCTAAGTTTGACGGTAATTATTCCTATTTAGTGAATAAAAATATGACAGTTCTATTTTGGAATTCTCAAGCGTTTTTACTCCTATTTCAGGAATTTCCCCATCAATCATATCAAGTATGTTTGATGGTCCATTACTCCTGAGTCCTTCGACTTGTCTGTTCTTTAGCACCAAATCGCAGAGAGTATACCCGCTAAGCTTACCCAACAAAAACATCTTACTTAAATGCTTCATCCAACTTTACATGGGCATGAGCATAGTCACATGGTTCGCGGTACGGTTCGATACGGGAACGAGGAACGGGAACGCGGTTCGCTAGATCTAGCGTATCCGATTCGGAGGGGGGTAGGTTCATTTCGGTACGCGTTCGGTACGCGTTCAGTACGATGTACCATATGTTTTGGTACTATAATAAAACTGAATTAAAGATTTCATAAAATTAAATAAAAACAGATTTCATAACATGATTTCATAGCATTAAACAAAATAAATAACATTAAAATTGTGCCATGATGCATCACTCCCCCCCTTGAAGATTCACCTTGTCCCCAAGGTGACAATTGGGAAATAGTGTCTGCAATCTGCTCACAGATTCCCAGGAGTCCTCAAAATCCGGCAGTTCCTTCCAGTGCTTCTCTCTCTCCAGCTGCATTCACCCTAATTCCCAACACCTTTTCAGGGGTGGCCTGTAGCTCCCATTCCTCAGAGAAGCATTTAGGTAATGGTTGGCAGGGAATGTTAGGCGCTACCGACTTCTTCAACAAGGAAACGTGAAAGACTGGGCGTACTGCACAATCTTCTGGTAATTTCAATTTGAAAGCAACAAAGTTGATTTTCTCAATCACCTCAAAGGGTCCATAGAATCTTGGACTCAGTTTCTGGTTCACCCTTTTTGCCAAACTTTTCAGTTTGTAGGGTTGAATCTTTAAATATACTTTATCCCCTAACTCCAGTTGCATATCCCTTCTTTTGCCATCTGCCTGTTGCTTCATTTTATTCTGAGCTGTTGACAATGTCTTCTTTAACTCGTCTAACATTCTGTTTCTTTCCGCAGTAAGTCTTGATACTTCTGCATTGGCGGTTACAGTAACATCCCCCCAAATGAGGACTGGAGGTTCTTGACCATAGAGTGCTTTGTAGGGGGTGTTCTTGATGGAAATATGATAGTTCGTGTTGTACCAGAATTCTGCCCATGGTATCCATTTCAGCCACTGTTTAGGCTTATTCCCAGTTGTGCATCTTAGGTAGGTTTCAATGCATCTATTCACCACCTGTCTGCCCATCCGTCTGTGGATGATAGGCTGTACTGTACTTGAGTTTAGTACCAGCCATCTTGAACAGCTCAGACCAAAAAGAACTCATAAAAATAGTGTCTCTGTCTGAAACAATAGTCTTAGGAAACCCATGCAATCTAACTATCTCCTGTACAAATATTTCAGCCACCTCTTTTGCAGTATAAGGATGTCCCAAAGCAATAAAATGTGCAAATTTAGTTAGTCTATCCACCACCACCAACACTGTATCCTTTCCGTATGCTATAGGTAAACCTCCAATGAAGTCCATACTGAAATCTGACCAAATCTGACTCGGAACTGGTAGAGGTTGCAGAAGGCCAGCGGGATTCAAGGCTTGGTATTTATTTTTCTGACAGGTTTCACAGCTCTGAACATATGCTTGAATTTCTGCCCTCATTCCATACCAATAAAACAGATTAGCTATTCTTTTCATAGTCCTGAAATAACCTGCATGTATCACTTGGATTCTGGAGGAGCCTTTAGGTATCATTAGATATTGAAACTCCTTCAATATCACTTGGATTCTGGAGGAGCCTTTAGGTATCACCAGACTTCCTTTAAAATACATTAACCCCTTGATTAATTTGAAATCTGGCTGAGTTCCCGGTTGTCCAATGATCTGTTGAATGATAGTATTACACCTTTCATCTTTGATAAGCTCTTCCTCTAGGCCCTCCCATTCTTGACATGTCACCATAGACGGGGATTCCAGACACATCTTCCTTGAGAGGGCGTCAGCAGCCTTGTTCTCTATGCCCGGCTTATATTTGATTACAAAGTTATACCCCATCAATTTGGTAACCCATTTCTGTTGTTGTTCACCCATCAACCTCTGCTCCGTTAAAAATTTTAGGCTCTTCTGATCCGAGTGTATCTCAAATACTCTTCCCAACAAGTAGGGTCTCCATTTCTGAACTGCGAAAACTATGGCCATTAACTCGTGTTCGTAAACAGACTTGCTCTGATTTCTGGGGGACAATTCTCTACTCAAATATGCAATGGGTCTACCCTCCTGCATTAATACTGGCCCTACTCCTTTACCCGAGGCGTCTGTCTCCACTACAAATGTTGTATTGAAATCTGGAACTCTTAATACAGGCAGAGTAGTCATTGTCTTCTTTAGTACTTCAAAGGCCTCTGTAGCTTTCTGGTCCCACGTGAATGCTTCTTTCTTAAGGAGCTGAGTAAGGGGTGCTGCAATCTTACTATACCCCTTTACAAATTTTCGATAGTATCCTGTCAACCCTAGGAATCCCCTGAGTTCCTTGACATCCTTAGGTACAGCCCAATTTAGCATGTCTGCAATTTTGGAAGGATCGGCTGCCACTCCTCCGGAGATTATATGCCCCAAATAAGATAATTCAGATCACCCAAAGCTGCACTTCTTCTTGTTGATATACAACTGATGTTCCTTGAGGGTCTGTAGAACTGTTCTTAGGTGTCCTTGACGCTCTTCCATGGAAGAACTGTAAATAAGGATATCATCAAAGAACACTAAAACAAACCTTCTCAGATAGGGTCCCAACACTTGATTGATGAGGGCCTGGAAGGTTGAGGGTGCGTTTGTGAGTCCAAAAGGCATCACAAGGTACTCATAGTGGCCTTCGTGCGTTCGAAAAGCTGTCTTATGCACATCCGATTCCTTCATCAGAATCTGATGGTAACCTGACTTCAGATCTAGCTTAGAAAACACCTTGGCAGTACCTAATTCATCCAATAGCTCTTCTATTACAGGAATTGGGAACTTGTCCTGAACTGTAATTTTATTCAAGGCTCGGTAGTCACCACAAAATCTCCAGCCTCCTTTTTTTTTCTGACCCGCAAGACGGGGCTGCTGATAATAACTTCAATTTCGTTCTTTTGATAGTGCAGGTACCTGTAAGGTCTGATATTGGGAATTGTTGCTCCTTCTTTGATATTGATAGAGTGGTCACAGTCCCTCTTTGGAGGTAGACATTGAGGAATCTGGAACAGTTCAGCATATTCTTCTACCATTAACGTCAATAGATTCTCCTGCTCTTGATTCCCAGTAACTTCCAGAGGTTGCAGATCACAAGTAAGATAATAGCCCTGCCCTTGCTGTTGTATTGTTTTGATCAAAGTTTTCAAAGATACTTGAGACTGGCCCAAAGTAGGATTCCCTGTTAATCTCCTCTCTTCCCTTCTTCCTTCCACCTCAGAATAAGTTTCTGGAAGTTAAATTTAACATCTCCCAACAAAGTCAACCATTCCAACCCCAAAACTATATCTGTTCCTCCTAGCTCCAGGATGTAGAAATCTTGAGTTATCACATAACCCTGCACCCTCAGTTGTAATCCAGCACAAATACCACTATTTCTTATTTTCACTCCATTTCCCAATTCCACCTGAAATCCTCCAATCTGGTTAAAAGGCATTGCCAATTCATTTACTAAGCTCTGGGATATGAAATTGTGAGTGGCTCCACTGTCAATTAAAATCACCACTGATCTGGCTTCTCTATCTTTAATATTTCCTTCCACCTTGAATGTTCTCCGAGTAGTTATCCCTTCCTTACTCATCACCGACAGCTTCAATGTTTTGTATTCCCCAAAGTTTTCCTCCTCCTCATGATGTTCTTCCCCTGGACTGGCAGACTCCTCAGGCTCTTCTTCAGGTGGATCAAGGAGCACAAATTGGTAGTGTTTCAATTTGCATATGTGCTCTTTGTTCCATTTATCCCCACACTTGAAGCAAAGTCCCTTTCTGCTTCTTTCTTCTAATTCCGTTTGTGAAAGTCTCTGGCCAGATCTTCCAGTTGTATTGATGTATCCTGTATTCCCCACCTTATTTTCTGGAGTGCTTTTCTCTGCCCCAAGTGGTGCAGTGGAATAGTTTCTGATTCTTGTCCCCTCCATTAGTTTCTGATTCTTGTCCCCTCCATCCTGTTCAGTGGTCTCACAAAGCTACCACCCTTGTCCTTCCAACCCCTTTTGTCTTCTTGTATTTTTCCCCTCTCCAAGCCTTGTTTCTCGCCTCCAATAATAATGCCCTGTCCATGAGTTCTGCCAATGTTCCAGAATGATATAATTTAAGATCAGCACGTAATTCCTCCCTTAAACCATTTAAGAATATCCCCTTCAACATCTCCAGATTGGTATTTTTCTGGGACACAACCACCAGTTCAAAATTCTCCCGATATTCCATCACACTCCCTGTTTGTTTTACGCTTAACAAAGGTCCAAATGGGTTTTGCACCATCTCCGGCTGAAATCTTCGAATCAAAGCTTCCTTAAACTCCTCCCAGTTGCTCTCAACAGTTTGTTCCTCCCACCAATGAAACCAGTTCAGTGCTCGACCCTCCATGGCCACCATAACAACTGGAACTCGGTCTTCGTACGTGATGTTGTTCAATTTAAAAAATCTCTCGGCTCGAATAATCCAACCATAGGCTTCATCACCATTGAACACCGGTAATCTACTTTTCTACCTGTTTTCAATAGCACCTCCTTATCCATATTCTTAAATATGGAGTTCGCAGATGGAGTTCGATCGAATTTACCTCTCGTAGCTGAGGAATTCCGACTCTCTTCGTGGATCTCCTTCCTAGGTGATCGCGATCGTCCTCGCGAGCGATGCTGATCCCGGTGCGTCACCAGATTCCGCAGCTCCTCCATCCTCGCATCCATCCTTTGTTCCACGTTTAGCATCCAGTTCCGCATCTCATCGACCATCGATCGCAGATCCTGAACGTTGTTTTCCACGGACTCCACTGTGTTCCATCCGAGCTCTAGTTCAGGTCATTCACCGGTCTTCCAGGAAGGTGCTCTGATACCAAATGATAAGTATCACAGATCGATTGAACAAATTATGCAAGGGAAATCAGTAATTCTATAATAAGCAAGTTCCAGATTGTATTAATGGCAGAAAATAGATGAAAGAGATACAATTAGGACATATTCGAGAGTGCCCTTCCCTCCAACTAACTTCCCAAGTTCTGCCTGCCTATTCTCTCACCCCACTTTACTATATATATGGCCCAGCCCATACAATAGTTCCCGCTCTCATTTAGAGAGCCCAACCCTTCTCCTCTTATACACCTTATCAAAGTACTTGACGTTATAATAATAATAATAATAATAATTATTATTATTATTATTATTATTAGGCCTTATGCTCATAGTCGAGTCTTCATCATAACTTCTCCAATCAATTCCCATCCAATGTTCCAAACAGCTCCAAAATACAACTCCTGTAGAAAGAACTAGAGAAAGCAATCTTAATTTAGTTTATTCGTACTGTCTAATACAAGGAGAAGATTACAGAATATATATCTAGAGAAGTAGAACAAACAAGGATGAAATCCTCCTAATTAAGTTTCCCTAAGAATAAGAGATATTTAAAGATTCTGAGATCTCTAAGATATCTCCTCATAAATACACAACAACAACATCCAAGCCTTAATCCCAAAAGAATTCGGGGTGAATATTTAGAATAATCTACACTCCCCATCAATCTGGGTGATGGATATCATCCATGCACAACTTGTTAGATAAGTCTTCAAACTAAGTTCTTGGAAGTGCCTTGATGAGTATATCAGCCATTTGCTGCCTGGTTGGAACATAGCTTAACTGGATGTCCTTTGATGCAATCTTCTCTGATAAGAATCGTCTATCTATCTTAATATGCTTGGTTCTGTCATGAATTCATGATGGATAAGATTTTTAGCAATACTGATAGTAGACTGGTTATTACATGAAATCTGGATGGAGCCTTCAAATGGAAGTTTAAGCTCATTGATCAATCTTCTTAACCATAATCCTTCACACATTCCTTGTGCTAAAGCTCTGAGTTTAGACTCTGCATTACTTGCAGAGACTACTGATTGTTTTTTGCTCCTTCAAACGACTAATTACCCCATACATAAGTTAATAAACAGTAGTTGACCTTCTGTCTAAGAGGCTTCCAGCCCAGCCAACATCTGTAAACACTTCAATCTTCCTTGTCCTCTGTTTTGGAAACAACAATCCTTTTCCCGGAGTCATTTTCAAATACCTAACAATTTTATAGATTGCAGTTAGATGTTCCTCAGTTGGGTCATTCATGAATTGACTCACCACACTTACTGAGAAAACAATGTTTGGCCGTGTGTGAGATAGGTAGATTAGTTTCTCGACCAGCCTTTGATATCTACCCTTATCGACTCGTGGATTGTCATTCTCACTACCTAACTTCTTTGATATATCCATAGGAGTGTGTCCATAGGCTTGCACCCAAGCATTCCAGTTTCACTTAGCAAGTCTAAGACATATTTCCTTTGTGAAATGAAAATGCCTTTCGCCCTTTCTTAGGCCTTGCCACTTCCATTCGCAGGAAGTACTTTAACTCGCCTAGCTCCTTGATCTCAAACTCTCTTGCTAGATGATCCTTCAATCTGTCCAATTCAACCTTATAATCCCCAGTCATAATAATATCATCAACATAGACTATAAGAATAGCCATTTCATAGACTATAAAAATAGCCATTTCACCAGAGTCTGCCCTCTTTACAAATCGTATCTTGTGTGGTCTGCTTAACATTGCATGAACCCTTGTTTAAGAACTGATCTTGTAAATCTACCAAACCATGCTCTAGGAGACTGATTTAGCCCGTACAAGGACTTCCTCAGTCTGCGAACCTGGCCAGATTTCACCAAGTCTTCTAACCCTGGTGGTACATCCATGAAAACTTCCTCTTCTAGGTCTCCATTAAGGAAGGCATTCTTAACATCTAGTTGATGTAATGGCCAATCTAAGTTCACTGCAAGTGATAGCAACGCTCTAATGGTGTTCAACTTTGCCACGTGTAAATGTCTGAATAATCAATGCCATAAGCTTGGGTGAACTCCTTAGCAATCAGCCTTGCCTTCAGTCTTTCAATCTTTGCAATGTCATAACCAACAGTTTTCTTCCCTGGCAGCAAATCTGCAAGCACCCAAGTTCCATTCTTCTTCAATGCTGCTAATTCATCATAGACACCCTTCCTACACCCTGGATGTTCCAGGGCTTCATTGATGTTGTTAGGAACCTGAATACTATCAATCTTAGAAATAAAAGCTTGATAATTTGCTGACAGTTTCTTATAACAAACAAAATTATAGATAGGATGTTTTGTACACTTCTTTACTCCCTTTCTGATAGCAATAAACAAGTCTTATTCCTCCTCATCTCTTTCTATAGCCTCAACCTCTTCTTCATGCGGACTCAGATTTGTGTCAGATGATTGGGTGGTGTTAATTGGAGTAATGTGCTCTTCTTCTGGAACTTTGGTTCTAGGTTTCCTCTTGTAGGTATTCTTGTAGAATGGGGAATTTTGATTTAGTGTAGAGCTTTGAGGTGATGGTGGCTGAAATGGTGAGGTTGAGGGGGAGGCTGTATTATCTGGAGGTATGGAATCAAGTCTTTCTGAAAGTATGGGTTCAATGTGGATAAAGACACTTTCTTGGAGGTCTGAAATAGTGTCTGAAATAGGATTCAAAGTCTGGATTTCACTGTGATACTCACCCTGAAATTCAGCTTTGGGATAATAAGGTTGTGATGGAGTATATTCCCATATACCCCAGGGGTACCACAATTAGCAGACCAATCAAACTCCCAAGACATCTCAGATACTTAAGGATAGAGGTTACAACTGACATCCGACCTCGACACCCAAGGTCGGGGAAAGACACAAGACGATGAATCAACAAAGGACAAACAGCCGAGGCCGACCTCAGTCACGCCAAGGTCGGTACCAGCTTCGACCTATTCCGCCAATGCAAAGTCAAACGCAGTCAACGAGAGAGTCAACGTTGCCAGTCAAGGTTGAAGACTTGAGATGAATCCTCCAGTAATAAGCTCAGGCAACCGAGCTCTGACCTCCAGGAGCTCGGGGTTTCACCATCAGTGTATGGACTTGGGCATTTCACGTAATCACGTATTCACGTACCATGCTTTCTGATGCCACGTCATCAGTATTGTAAGGAGCGCCACATCAGTCCAAGCGAATAAAGATGAAGAATGTTCTAGAAAACACACGTGTAACCCGCACCCATGTTCCGGTATAAGTTTGTTACACAC